ACCTGAGGCTCCAGAAAGATGCAGTTCTTTGGCCGACTGGTGAATACCATCAACAGCGTCACCCAAATATTCACAAACCCTTACCGGGTGAAGGAGGTGCCGGCTGCAGAGTACGCCGCGCACACCTGCCTGAGGGAGGAAGGCAGGGTGGCCCTCTATAAGAACAGACTCGCTCGCTCATGGGATTGCCTGTTGGTGAATCCTCAGAGCCCACAGGTCGCTTTCCGGTAAGTGACAGACATTTAGCAATCGCTACTCAAGTGTGAAACGAAAGACCAGAAATCTCCAATCTCAGGACCACAGTGCTTTGCGGCTGTGGGTGTGGGATGATGTGTTTGATCAGCAGGTGGGCTCATGAGGGGTGGGAGGCCCTTGCATGTGCTGGTGAAGGAGTCGTCATCAAAACATGCTGTCGTGGTTTAACCCCAGCCAGCAACTAAGCACCATGCAGCCGCTCGCTCACTCCCCCTGCCCTGGTGGGATGGGGCAGAGAATTTGAAGAGTAGGAGTGAGAAAACTCCTGGGTTGAGATAAGAACAGTTTAATAATTGAAATAAAGTAAAATAGTAGTAGTAACAGTAACAATATAATACTAATACTACTAATAATAATAATATACAAAGCAAGTGATGCACAATGCAACTGCTCACGACCTGCCAACAAATGCCCAGCCAGTTCCCGAGCAGCGATTGCTGTCCCCCGGCCGACTCCCCGCAGCCAAAACCAGAACATGTGCCCTTGTGAGGGCAGGGCAGAGCAGAGTACAAATGCTGTGGAAACAGGCAACTGTGAAATAGTACTCGGGTCAGAACATCCACAGGTACGTGCACTTCAGCTCGTACCCGTTGCTGTTTTAGTATCTGGAGCACAGGATACTTCAGCCCAAAAGTTAATGTTCTTCAGGAAGAGGAAATGCTCTCTGCTAATGAAGTAGGCTCCCTTCTTCTGTTGGAACAAGCATGACACCAGATGAGGAGGAATGGGAAAGTCCCCATCACTAATGTTTGGAGAAGAGCTGTTTCTCTCAGATACGTGGGATGGAGGTTGTTTCTTTGAGCAGGACCAACGCTGCATTTGCCTTTCCTCCAGGCTCTTCCAGCTCGACAATGAAACAGATGCCCTGGTGCATTTTGAGCAGTACGCCAGGCAGCTGCGCCCTTTCTACGAGAGCTCGCGCCAGCCCTTGTCTCTGGAGGATCTCCAGCAGCTCAGCGACTGCTTGCGCAACCACCCCAGCTGGTCCTCGGCACACGTTGCGGTGGAAATTGGCCATCGTGAGAGCTTCAGGCACAACCAAGTTCTGAGGCAAGGGGCGGGAGAGGTCTCTGGTGGGCCTGGTGCTGGGAACGAGCTCGGGAGGGCAGGCTAGGCCAGATTAGGGTGTCCCAGTTTGATGCACCAAAGCAATGGGGACTGCTTCTTGGGGGAGCTTAACACCTGTGGTTACTGCAGAGGTCGAGTTTAAAAGTGCCAGCCTTGGTGTGTCCTGCCTGAATGACAGATGTGGTGGCAAAGAGGGTCCGATGGTCACTGTGTAAGCTTATCAGCGGGCTTTCAACCTGCTGCTGTGGACATTAAGGCCTGGAGCTCTGGTGTTTCAGCTAAAGGATTGAAGTGTTTTGCTAGAGGCACTAGTTAGATTCTTATAACCCTTGTGGAGCTGCTTTTTGGAGGCGGCTGTAGCTGACTTTGTAAACCACAAGAGAGGAGGTACAGTAGGAATGTCTTTCTGGAAATGGTTTTTGGCCACAAGCCTTTGCTCTCTTTCCATGGGGAAGTTCAGTGATGATAGGGGAGACTAGTAAGGAGTTAGGGGACTGGAGGACTAATGGCAGCACCTCTGTCAGGTTGCTGACTGTAACCTGTCTCCTGCCTTTCTTTGGGCAGGGGGAACTGCTCCCATATGGGGAACAGAGGAAGGAGCAGTATGTCGGGGAGAGGGTCCATGGCAGGGCTGCTTGGTGGCCCTTCCCTGTGCTCCTTCCCTGGCAAGAGGCCAGGCTTCCGTGATCCTCATGGTTTGCACCAGCTGGACCTGTCACAGACGTGGAAGGTGCCTTCTTCTCAGCTCCCAGGGCAGCTGCACGTCCTCGTCTTCGCAGCCCTTCCTTGGCCTCATGTTGACTCATCTCTTGCAGCTGTGTGAACAGCACGGACAGTGAGGATGGCTGCACCCCGCTGCACCTGGCGTGCCGCAAGGGAGACATGGAGTGCCTGCTGGAGCTGCTGGAATGCCATGCGCGGATGGACATTACCGACAGGAATGGGGAGACGGTTTTCCACTATGCTGTGCGAGGGAACAGCCCCCAGATCATTGAGGTGGGAGCGATTTCAAAGCTGCGGGGGAGTGGGACTAGAATGGGTCCTCTATGCTGTGAGGAGAGAGACAGGAAAATAGCTGCAGACCGGGGAGGAGAAAGCCAGTTCCCTCTGCTGCAGCATCGAGTTAATACTTGAGGCTGATTTCAGCCTCTCTCTTTCCCCTTTACTGGTACTGTTTCTGTAAGCAGGCTCCAGATTCCACCCTGCAGTGGAACAAGGATATTAAGCAAGTTTTCCTTAGAAAGTGTCTTTCATTGCTGTTTGCATCAGGCCTTCATCCTGCCTTTCCCCAAGTCCTTGGCTGTCCTTTCTCCGTCTTCTCCAAGCAGGGTATTTGGTTCGGGTAGAGTGCTCCCATGGGGGAGCGTGTGTTTAGGCTGCCGTGGGGGAGCGTGTGTTGTCCACAGGCTGAAGGACAGTTCAGAGCCGCCCTGGGCACTCCTGAGCTGCAGAACCTTTTGTTTGAACTGAGTGGCCTTGCATGGGGGACAGCGATCAGAGCCTCGAGGCAGGGACAGTCTGAAGCCAGAGGCGTTCTCGTTCTTGATTGCTGAGAAGTGCTGGGCAGAGTGACAGGGTCCGTAAGGGGGTGGGTGGCCTTCCACGCTGGTTCCTCAGGTCTGTCAGCTCCCCAGCACCCAGTGCGAGCGCAAGACCATCTCTCTGCTACAGTTGCACCCCCCACATATGCCCAATACCTGTTGTGACAGCTCTTCCTCCGGCTCCCAGACTGTGCTGGGGTTTCCTAATGCGTGATGGAGGAGGGATGATGATTTGGGCTTGCCCTGCTGTGGAGCAGGGCAGTTAAGACATTTGTATTAAAAAGATATCCTCTTCCTTTATTTCTCTGATGGCAGCAACTTGGCACATTGTTACAGAAATACTTCCAGGTCTGATCTGTCTCCTGTTTGTTTCTTTTCTCTCTTGATTCCTTGCTAAACCAGAGAAAAGAAACTCTAAATTCCTGCTTCTCTTGTGTGCACCAGGCCTTGCAGGGATTCCCCGGTACGGCAGTGGGATATTTTTGTGTAACAAACCAGTCAGCAGGTAACAGGTCTAAAATTTACGAGGAGAATAGGAAAATTCCTTCATACATATCCCCACATCTATATTTTAAACAGAATCTTGTTTGTATCTGAAAGCAGTGGGGGAGTTGCAGGGGAGGTTGAGCTCCTGCCTGCTGACTGTTCGTGGTAACTGATGGGGCCGCAGCAGGAGAGGAAACTGCTGGTTTTAGTTAGCGTTCTCATTTGTTTGGGCTGAGCTTGGCTCATGAGTGGGAGACGGTGGGAGTCTGCTGGGCTGTGTCGTTCAAGGTGGTGTGAGCTCTTTTTGGCTCTGGGGTGTCTCAGAAGCACCTGGGCCAGAGGAAGAGGGCACAGAGAGCAGCCATAAACCCTTTGGGGAGAGAAAACAAGGAGCGCTTCCATAGCTACTGTGTTGGAAGCAGGGGTGGAGAGGACAGGCTGTTGCATCATGAGGAACCCAGTGCTCCAGAGTCTGTCCCCGGAGCTCAGGAAGAGAGACTGTGCTCTTCCATGTCTGTCTGTCTATTTATCTGTTGTCTCCTCTTCCCAGCTCCTGGGCAGCATCCCAACTGCTGGCTTGGACCACCTGAGCTGTGAAGGGCTGACTGCTCTGCATCTGGCTTGTCAGCTGGGTAAAGAGGACATGGTTCGGTCTCTGCTGAAATGCCATGCCAGCTGCAGCATCATGGGGAAGCTGGGCTACCCCATCCACATAGCACTGAAGTTCTCGCAGAAGGGGTAAGTAACCCCTTGGGCTGCCAGAACAGTCTGGGGATCTGTCTGCTTACTCAGGGTTGTCCAAGACTGGACCCCTTTCAGGGCAGTGCTCAGTAGGAAGATGTCCTGTGCTGTCCTCTGCTGCATCACCGAGTTGGCAAAAGAACAGAGAAGTGCTAGTGTGGAAAAGAAAGAAACACTTTCAGAAAAAAAAGTTTTTCCCTGAATTTGTCTATATATATTATTTAGTATCAGACATCAGGAGACAGACACAGATTATTTTAAAAAAATGTTTGTGAAATGCTTTTTCTCAGAATGAGCTGTGAGAAGATGATTTACTGATGTTTAAATAGTATTGCTAATTGCCATACCTCCGTCTTTGAGTGCTCTGATCCTAATAAGCTTTCATTTCAAAGCCTAGTTATTCCTGTCTCCTGTGGGCCAAAGGTACTCTTGACTCTTCATAACACACTCTGGAACTGAATCAAAAGAGACGCGGTGTTTACTCCCTGTTTTGTTTTCCCTGGAGAAATTTGATTCTCTTTGTATGTGCTTTATAATACTTAATGTTCATAGTGTCTGAGCTCTACAAATAGGGTGCTCAAGTCAACACTAGCTGCTGCTAGCTAATTTTTCAGCATTTTGAAAAGTGTTTTCAAATGTTAGAGACACATTCACAAGGCAAAAATGTGCTTAGGTCCCTTAGTTTGCAGTGGGGCTCAGTCTCTTGTACATGGTTTATTCGGTGGTGTTTCAAAGTGGAGAGCGTATGCTTGTTTCTTAAGTCTGCCTACCCGCACTTTCTAGGTGCTAGGTAGTAGTCTATTCACAATAGGTGTGATTTCTTACTCACAGGGAAGTACACAGATTCTTAATTTCAGCAAGTATTTAACTGTTTCAGTTTTATCCCCCCGTTTCCACAGAGAGAGAGGGAGAAGAATTTCCCCTTGAGTCTTGAGAGTTTCCAGAAATGCCTGTATTGGAGAAGCACCCAGATGCTGCTCCACAGCTTGGAATTGGGAAGGAATTCTCCTGCTTCTTCCGAACGCTGTGCTGCTTGTATGCTTCCTGTTGCGCCCTTCCTTTCTAAAAAGAGCAAAACAAAACTGCAGCTGAGGAACCTGCAGGTGTTGCAGAGAGCCTGCTGCTGCTGGACAGTTTCCTGAAAGGCTCTGGGCAGGAGGCAGGTGCTGATGTGAGTGGAGGTCTTGAATCAAGACAGCAGCCCCCCATCCCTTCATCTCGTTGTCTTTGCCAGGTGTGCCCAGGCCATCCTTGAAGTGGATGCCAGCCAGGTTCGCTCCAAGGACCCGCGCTATGAAGCCACTCCGCTGCACTGGGCAAAGAAGGCAGAGGTAAATGGAGCCAATCCATGGTGAGGGCCTGTGCTGCCACCCAGCACCCAGTTAATTCCTCCTGCTGCTGACCTCTCCCTTTCCTGAGTGCATGTGCAGAACCCTGGGAGTGTCAGAGCCCAGCCAGCAGCCCGGTGTTTGATTCTCTTTGCCCTCTGCTTATCAGTGCTGTTTGCCACAGGGGACGGAGCAGCGGAGCCTTGCAGTGAAACAAACTGGTGGGCTCATCCCTAGTATGTCATCCTTGGCTGTGAAACTGCCAGCTTGTCCCTTTTCCCTTTTTGTTGGGGAAATTGCAGTAGTGTCACTGTTGCCCCTGGAGGGAGCTCTCTTCTCATTACTGCCAGTTTCATGGGAGGAAGCAGGTTGATGCCTTGAAAACTGCAGGGAGAATGTGAGGTAGGCACAGGGTGGTGGCTTGTGGGTTATGGTCCATCTTCTGCCAGGGGTGGGCAGACCAGTGGTGTGATACGCCATGCCGGAGCACCTGAATGGTGTTTGTTGCAAGCAGAGGACATTCCTATGGCAGGACTGTTTTCCCTCCTGCAGTATCACATCCCTCTCAGAAATCATAGAACCATAGAATGCTTTGGGTTGGAAGGGACCTTGAGAGATCATCGAGCCCAACCCCCCTGCAGTAAGCAGGGATTGAACCTGTGAACTTGGTGTTATTAGCACCATGCTTTAACCAACTGAGCTAACCCGGCTGGTCCTGTGGAGTCTCAGAGCAGATGTAAATCTGCTTGGCTTATAAAGAGAAGATCAAAAAGCAAACTTTTTCCCTCCAGTCTGCAAGGATTCTAGCCCGAGTAGGAACTGTTTTTCCTCCATTGCTCTCAGCCAGTTGCTACACTTGCATATAAGTCCCAAAACATGCAGAAGCTCTAGCCAGATTGTGAAACCACCAACTGTTCTGAGGTAAAAGACAGAGAAACCCCACCTCCAGTGCTTGGAATGATGCAGCTGGCATCTGCCAGCCAGCCGTGTCCAGCCTAAGGGTCCTGCCTCTTCCCCTTTTTTGCTTGCAACGAGATCTGGATTGTTTGAGCGCCCAGGCAGTTGTCCTCATGATCACTTTCTCTCTTCTTGACCTGGCACATGCACGCTTGGGCACAGATGGCACAGCTGCTGCTCGAGTACGGTTCTGAGGTGAATTTGACCAGCCGGACGGCTGACATGGCTCTGCACATCGCGGTCAAGAGGGGACGCTTTGACTGCGCCATGCTACTGCTGACACACGGGGCCCACACCAACGCCAGGGGTCAGGATGGCAACACACCACTGCACCTGGCCATGAAGGTGAGTTTTCTGCAGAGGCTGCTGGGAAGGAAAGAGAGGATTTTCTTGAAGGGTTGAGGCAGGGACAGACTCCTTTGAAATTCTAACTGTTGTTTTTCATGGGGTGATCGATTGTGGGTGCTTTGGCTAATGAAGAAAGGAGGGAGGGAATGAAAGATGATGTAGCCAAGGGGAGCGTGGCTTTTGACTGAGCTTTCTCTTGTCCCCTAGCATGACCACCTGGATATGATCAAAGCTATCGTTGTGTTTGGAGGAGATGTTGAGATCCCCAATGATTTCGGGGAGACACCAGGGCTGTTGGCAGCCAGGAGCAGCAAAGGTGAGGGAGCATGCCAGCAGCCTTACAGGTGAACCCAGCATCCTGTCTGCCCTTGGTGTCCAAAACAGTGTCTTGGGGAGAGGTAAAAACATGCTAAGCATGGGTGATGCTTCTCCAACATGCTTTCCCAGCTTCTAGTCGCTCACAGGGTAGGCACTTCCTGAGATAGCAGCATAGCCTTTGTATTAATAGCCCTTAATGAACTTCTCTTCTGCGAGACACAGATGCAAGAGGAAAAGCTGGCACGCGCTCCCCCCCTTTCAGGCCACGATGTCGGGCACTGCAGGCTCGCAACAGGATGATGC